TTTGTCTCCTCACTAGAAACTGGGCTGATCATCTCTGCCCCACTCACTTAGGATTCCAGGATGCCCTGGAATTTGGGGATTTCATTTGGCCTCTTATTCTGCAGAACTGCCTGCAAGGAGACAGAAAGAAGGAGGTAGGCCTCTCCGTAGGCTCCCAGTAAAGTGGATAAGGAAGGATCAGAGGGTAAGCCAGTGCAGGGCCATGAAGAGTGGTATGGTCACTCCATTCCAAGTAGCAGCAGTGGAACAGAGGGAGAGAAGCCCCAGTCAGAGCCCCAACTGCCCTGCTACATGCTGAGTGGGGATGGGCTTGTCCCAGGAGGCCCACCTGCTTTGAGATCAGACCAAGGAGTTTCTTCCAAGCCCAAGGTGGCAGACAGGGGCATCTGGGACCCTGGCACCTATGTATGTATATTTGACAGGAAAAAGAGACCTCTACAAAGCAGGGTGCCTGGCTTCCTCACTGGTTCTCTGGCCCTGTGTATCAGCCGTTCTTTGTAGCTCTCAACTTTGGCTGTGTGTCTGCCTCTGCAACTGTGTCTTTGCCTATGCCATGCTCCAGGTGATTCATCCTTCTCAATCCCACACCCAGGGGGAAGGCAGAGTAGGACCAGGCCAGAACGTACAGCATAAGTAGCCCAGCTGAGCCAGAGAAACACCTCCCCGTCCTGGCCTGGCAGGGCCCCGTCTGCTCAGGAGGGAAAGGTAGTGAGGAAACTGGACCTCAAGCAAGGTACAGGGTGGGGAAGGGTTGCTTGGCCTGGAATTGGGACACCTTATTCCCTCAGGGCCAGGAAAGGACCCCAGTCTGTGTCCCGGAGGCCTACCAGGCTGGGCTGTTGCCAGGATAGGGTTAGGGGCCCGGGGAAGCTGCTGGAAACCTGCGGATTGGGCTGTTCCTTCCCTTCAGGACTGAGAGACCTAAAATCCTTTGTGACTCTTTCTGCCTGTTTGACCATATGTGGGAGGGTACAGCTGTGCGTGTCACAGCTGTATGTTCTTGCAACAGAAGCCGCATGTGACACTGTGACTATTTAGACCAGGAGAAGGTAAGTGTAGCATGTGTATATATCCCTGAGTCCATGGCTAAGACCCAGGGATACCATGGCCATATTTGTTTCATGTGTGTGACATTGTAAATTATGCCACATGGCTGAGATTGTGCATCTGTGTTTCTGAGTATATGGTGGTGGTGGTGGTGTGTGACTTTATGCTGTTTTATCATTGAGCGAGGTTGTGTCTCACATGGTGGAATTGACCCCAAATGGCTATAGTCATTGTGTGTGACCATGTTTGCAGGTTTGCAGAGGCACATTATGGTATATACGGCACTCTGTAGCCCTGCAACTGCGTAAATGACTCTATATATCTTGTGACTCAGTGGAACCATGTCTGAGGGGTGTATAACTGGATACATGATGGTATGTGGTTGGGAGATTATTTTGGGGGGCTGTGTGTGAAATGGTGGAATTGCCATTGTGTGACTGTGTGTCATTCTGGCTGTACATGAACACTGTCTGCAGGTGTATGTGATAATATGAGGTCATATGATCACAGGTGATTGTGACTGCAGGGCTTGTGACTATAACCAGAATTTCAGAAGAGTGATAGCATGTGCTTGGGCGTTCAAATATGTGTGGCCCCACAGTTGTGTGAAACTGTAAATAACACCATGTGTGTTTGTGACCAAATGGGCCCATTTGTGACAGGTTATTTATGAAAATGTGTGTGACACAGAGTAATAGATCTCTTGTGGCTATGAGAGGCCCTGTGTGGCTGTGACACAACATAACCAAGTCCATGTGCCCATGGCATCTCAGAGCTCCTGCCTATGACTTCTGCCACAAGATGGACATCCAGCTCCTCATCCTGGCATCCAAAGCTTTTTTCTCTCTTCCCTGGCCCCACCTGACTTCTCTATCTTCTGAGATAGCCCTACAACCCAGCTGGCACCACAGGAGTCCCACACTCCTTCCCTTTGAATGTGTCATCCCTGGGGGTCCCTCACTGCCTCCTTAGACCAATTTTTTTTTTTAAGAATCGTTTTTATTTAACCATTTATTATTTATTTATTTATTTAAATTTGACCAGAGAGGGACAGAGTGAGAGAGAGGGAAAGTGAGAAAGCAAGCTGCCAGGTCTGAGACTTGAACCACAGTTGGCCATGTGGGAGTCCAGTGCCCTTAGCCATCACGCCACCTGCCGGCCCCCCAAATCTTATAAATATAAATGTGACCATCATCTCCTATGGGGTGGGTTTAAGCAACTACAGCAAGAGAAGAGGGACAGTACAAAAATGCCACCATGGGGGGCCAGCAGTTAGCATAATGGCTATGTCGCTGAACTCACATGTAGCTGACTGAGTTTAAAACCTACTCTGGGCATGTGTGTGTGTGCCCAAGATCCTGAGAGGAGAATGGAGGGGAAGGGATTGCGGCGTGACCATCTCGCTTTCTATCTCTCTGTCTCTGTCTTTCTGGCGAGCACGCATGCCCTATAGCAAAAACCTCTCAAAAAAAAATGTCACCATGGGGCCAGCAGGTGGCATAGTGGTTATGGTACTAGACTCCCACGTGGCTGACTATGGTTCAAATCCCAGCCCTGGTGTCTTGAAAATCACACCAGGTATGTGCATGTGCATGCCCAAAATCCTGAGAGGAGAATGGAGAAGGATTGTACCCCTGGGGGTGATTTCTCACTTTCCCTCTCTCTGTCTCTCTCCAGCAAGTGCACACATCCCATGGCAAAAACCTTAAACAAACAAGCAAGCAAAGGTCTCCCCTTTTTCTGAATTTGCTTCTGTTTTCAAATCATTCCTATGACCTGAACTCTGGGTGCTCTGGGTGTGTGTCTAAGTGTGGTAGTGCATATGAGTGTATGTGAATATGGAAGGAAAAGACAGTAGTACAGATAGGTGAAAAGCTGGGGCTTTCTTTTTTTAATTTTCTTTTTTATTTTATTATTTTTTGAGAGGTTTTTGCTATAAGGCATATGCGCTTGCCAGAAAGACAGAGACAGAGAGACAGAAAGTGAGAAATCACCCCCCCCGGGGGGGATGGCCACACCACAATCCCTTCTCTTCCATTCTCCCCTCGGGATCTTGGGCATGCACACACACGCACCCAGCGTGAGTTTAAACCACTGGGTCTGTGACTCAAACTGCAGTTGACTACATGGAAGTCCAGTGACATAGCCATTATGCCAATTGCTGGTCCCACTTTCTTTTTTAATTTGCTATAGGGTATGTGTGCTTACCAGGAAGAGACAGAGAGAGAGAAAAAGAGAAGGAAGGTGAGAAAGCAACCCCCAGGGTGCAATTCCTTCTCCTCCATTCTCCTATCAGGATTGTGGGCATGCATGCACACATACCCAGTGTGTTTTTCAAGCGGCGGGGACTCAACCCATGCAGTCAGTCATGTGGGATCCAGCTGCCTTAACCACCAGGCCACTTGGCTGGGCCAAAAATCTGGGAGTTTAAGAAGCAAAATTTTTGCTCATTAAATACAATCTTGTCATTTTTTAAAAAAAGAATTATTTATTTTATTTATTTTTTATTATTATTTAATTTGACCAGAGAGACAGAGACAGAGAGAGGGAAAGTAAGAGAGCAAACCACCAGGTCCAAGACTTGAATCATGTTCAACCATGCGGGAGTCCAGCACCATAACCACCACGCCACCTGCTGGCCCCTACAATTTTGTCATTTTAAAACACACTTAGCTATGCAAAATTGTAGACAGGAAAGTCCAAGTATCCACAAGACCTTTAAAAAAAAGATGAAGAATGGTTTATCCTCAGCGTACATGACGTGGCTAGATAAAAAGGGCGTATAAATATATAAAGAAACTTTAGGGGGCTCACTCCTACCCCCAGCCTTGTTAAACGCCCTAGTAATAATGCCTCCTGATATATAGGGGTGGGGGTAAGTTATAAAATTTATGGAAAATATGTATTTGGTAAAAAGTATGCATGGATTTCAAAAAAATATTGCACCAAAATAAACTTGTACTTTAATCCCATTTTTCCACAAGCTTTTAAAAATTATTACTAGTTAGGGCATATATGCTCCCCAGAGAGAGAGAAAGCACTCCCCCCAATAGGGCATGGTCACACTGATGTCCTTTTTCCTCCATTTCTCCATTCTGTCAGGATTTTGGGTATGCACACACACACATACATGGCATGCTTTACAAGCCACAGGGGTTGGGATCTGAACCATGGTTGACTGTGTGGGATCTGGCTCCCAGTGTACAGAACTTAACCACTGTATAGGGACCGCCTTCCACAAACTTTTTTTTAATTGCCTGAGGGTGTGTGCACTTGCAAGAGCAAGAGAGAGAGAGAGCACCCTGCAATTGGGAATGGTCATGCCATAATCCCTTCTCCTCTTTCTCCATCCTGGGATTTGGGGGACACACATGCATCTGGCATGTCTTTCAAGCTGTCAGGGTTGGAATTCAACTGATGGTTGGCCACGTGGGATCTGGCTCCCTTAACCACGAGGCCATGGACCTCTCCAACATTTTTGTTTATTTCTAACATAAGTAGAAAGAGAGAGATAGGCAGTACCCCCAAAAAGTTGTTGATGCCATAATTCCCCCTCAGCTTCAACCAGCCCTAGATTATGGACACATGTGTACCCAGTGTACTCAGGGAGGTCTTGGACACAAACTGGGAATCTTCTCATGTGGGATAACCTCACACAGTGTCATGTTCTACCACTGCATCAACCATTCAATCTTCCACAAACTTTTGAAGTCCCCCTACACTTGGAATCATTGTACCAATCACTAGAAACTCTTATCTGTTGATGAAAACGGCCACCCCCACCCTGAGTCTGGCTCCTCATTTGAGGGCTGGGGTAGGAGTTTCCGAGAAAAGCAGTGTGGCCAGTAGGCACAGAGAAACCCAACACCCCATATGCCTGCTAAGACATGTAGCTCCCAGCCCCCTTTGAGGTAAAGTCAGTTGCTTCATACTCAGTTTCTCTCTTTCTGCAGGGCTGCACCAAGGAAACAGAATCCTGGTTAAAAGTTTGTCCCTTGACCCTGGCCAGAGCCTTGAGCCTCATCCAGAGGGCCCCCAGAGGCTTCGTTCAGACCCAGGCCCTCCCACTGAAACCCTTAACCAGCGTCCTTTACCACTAAAGCGAGCACCAGGCCCAAAGCCACAGGGTAAGTGGTTCCAGAAAGGATCAGAGAAATGGCCTAGGGGAGGGGATAGAGGAGGGGAGAAGTTAGCCATTGACAGAGTTGAGGGCTTGTAAGAAGGACAGGGAGACACCCTGGTCTTGCGGGCAGTGACACTTACAAAGTAGGCAGAAGACTGGCTTGGGGCTTATGTGCCTACACTGGGATCTTACCTTAGACTTCCTCTGTGCCTACCTCAGGCAAAGGTGCAGTTAGGGTCTATGGAGGGGATATGGCCTGGCCATAACAGTCACTTCCAAACCCAGCTCATTAGAGTCTCCCCTCTCTCTCCCTACCATCTGTCTCTCCAGTCCCCCCAAAACCTAGCTACCTGCAGATGCCCCGGATGGTCCCCTCACCTGAACCCATCCCCCCTCCACCATCACGCCCACTGCCTGCAGACCCCCGAGTAGCCAAGGGCCTGGTCCCCAGGGCAGAGGCCAGCCCTAGTTCTGCAGCAGTATCCTCATTGATTGAGAAGTTTGAAAGGTGAGTCTGGTCCCTCAGGGACCCTGTTGGGGAAGGGTGGGCCTGGGGCAGGAAGGGATATTCATAAGTGAGGCCTCTCTGTCAAGCTCATCTCCTGCCTCCGTGTGTGTCCACTGCCCACCTCAGAGAGCCTGTGATTGTTTCCTCGGATAGGCCAGCCCCTGGCCCCAACACAGGTTCCCCAGAGCCAGCCATGTTGCCACAGCCACCCCCGCACCCACCAGTGCCCCAGCTCCCCGAGAGTGAGGCATCCCGCTGCCTGTTCCTGCTGGCTCCTGGGCCCCGAGACGGCGAGAAGGTGCCCAACCGGGACAGCGGCATTGACAGCATCAGCTCGCCGTCCAACAGTGAGGAGACCTGCTTCGTCAGTGACGACGGGCCCCCCAGCCACAGTCTCTGCCCTGGGCCTCCTGCCCTGGCCAGTGTGCCTGTTGCTTTGGCTGACCCCCACCGGCCCAGCTCCCAGGAGGTTGACAGTGATCTGGAGGAGGAGGACGAGGAGGAGGAAGAGAAGGACAGAGACATCCCAGTGCCCCTGGTGGAGAGACAGGAGTCTGTGGAGGTACTAACCCATATTTACTGAGAGGCAGGACTGTGGGGAGAAACCAGGAACCTGGATTTTATTCTTGGTTCTTCCCTGGCTTGGTATTTCTCTAAATAAGGCATTATTTTTGTTTTGGATGTTTAGTTTCTCTGATCTCCTGGTTCTAAAAACCAGTAGCAAGCCCCTGCCCCTCCGTGCAGTTACTGTGACTACCAAAATGACTACGTACAGTTCCAAATGTCCACTAGAAAGGTTGCTTTACCTTTATCAGCAAACTATTAGCTAGACCTCAGGTTTTCCATCTCAAAGATGAACATCCTGGTTGAAAAGAAAAAGTCAGGAACTCCTGACAGGGTCCTATCATATTGTGATCCCTTATCCCCCAACCCTCTAGCTAATCAGGCTCTTGGGCACATGCCCCCAGAGTGTTGCAGGTCGACTCAGGATCCAAACCCACAGTTGGCTATATGGCCTTCAGCACTGCAGACTAGTACACCGCTGCCTGCACCACCATGGCTTGGCCAGATTGGGGGAATCTTTAAAAGCTTGTTCCAATTGGAAAATCCCATGACTCAGTATCTTTATGATATTTGACAAGTCTCTTTCCTCTCTACTCCCCTACAAGCCTCAGTTGCCTTATATATAAAGTAGAAAGTCTCTCACATCCAGAGAGACTTCTCAACAGTTGAAGGGGCACAAGAGCTAGTGCCTCACAGGGACCTGAGAACTGTGAGGACCCCTTCCTGTGCCCTACAGCCTAATGGTTCTTCAAAAAGTACCTTCTTGAGATAGGGCTCAGCCAGGATCAAGCTCAAGTATTGGAGGTTGAGGCCAGGGACTTCTGGGATGGCAGGTACTCAGCAAATATGAGGGACCTTCAAAAAGATTATGGAAAAATTTAATTATGAGTTTATTTTGGTGTAAAAATTATGAAATTCATGCATAGTTTTTGCCTAATATGTATTTTTCATAAGCTTTTTGAATATGTCATATGTCTTAATAAATAGGAAACTGAGTCAATAGGCAATGAGGTTATATATTTTTATATTTTTGTGTTTTTCTCAGGTACTCAGCAAGCCTTTGCTGTCAGTGAATTGAGTGGGTGAATAAATAAGCAACATTTATAGACTACTTCATCTGAATTCTGCTATGTTTTATTTATATTAAGTCATTTAATTGTCTCCATTACAAATGGACTTAGGTCCTATTCTTAACCTGTATTTATAGATGAGTCTTACATATAGAACAGTTAAACAGCTTATGTAAGCTAGTAAATGGCAGAGCTAGGATTTGAATCCAGGAAGTCTAACATCTTAGAACACATGCTTAATTACTACACGATGCTGCATGAATGGAGAGAACAGATGAATGGGTGAGTGAGTGCCTAAGTGAGGGAGTACATGTCATCAAAATTGAGAGGTGGGCTTTACAATAGACTAGGGAATCAGGGATGAAGTTGAGGGGCTTATGGGTCTAGAAATGGGGGTCAGAGGGTTATCTGAGGGTGGCTTTAGGCTTAGAATAATATATAAACTATATTAAAAATTCTGGGGATTTGGGTGAGGGTTAGGATAGAGGCTGATAGATTAAGAGTCACCTCTTCTCCTTTCCAGCTGACTGTGCAACAGAAAGTGTTCCACATTGCCAATGAGCTCCTACAAACTGAGAAGGCCTATGTTTCCAGGCTCCATCTCCTGGATCAGGTGAATAGTCTCTCAGGGGCCTGGGGGCCCTAAGACCTGGAAGGTGGGTTCCAAGGAGGAAGTGATAGGGCTTGAATATAGACATGTGCCCCAACACGGGGGCCAGAATCTCTGACCCTGAAGCTAACTTGTTCCTGAAGCCAACTCTGATTATAATCCTAAACTTAGTCCTTATACCAGCCTTCACTCCTAACCCTGGGCAGATAGACTAACCCTGACTGTGACCCTGACATTAACATTGACTGACCTGAATTCTGAATTTACCCCTGGCTGTGAGCCTCATTCTAATCCTGACCCTATTCCTAACCCCAAAAGCACCAGATTCTCTAATGGTAGGAAATTTTTTGTCTTCTTAATTCCCACTCTATCCCAGCCCCAAGGATAGTGCCTGTAACATAGTAGGTACTCAAAAATATTAATTAAATAAATGGATCTAATTCAAACTTTCTCTCTGACCCTAACTCTAAGTCTGAACTTGACCACATCCTGACTTCTCGTTGTTCCAATGTCTAACTCAAGGTACTAATCTTGACAACCTGAAATCCAACCCCATATATAACCCCAACTCCATTCCTTCTCTCCTTTGTCTCAAGACTAATACTGATCCCAAAGCTCCACAAAATTCCCACAAACTGCCCTCACTTGCAAAGTGTCCCTTCCCCAGGCCCTGCTGGGCTGAGTGCACTTACCCTGCCCCACAGGTATTCTGTGCCCGGCTGCTGGAAGAAGCTCGGAACCGCAGTTCCTTCCCAGCTGACGTTGTCCACGGCATCTTCTCTAACATCTGCTCCATCTATTGCTTCCACCAGCAATTCCTGCT